AGATTTTCCGTCACTGACTGGCTGGGCAGTGGAGTCGGCCACACACCCCTGTACCTCCGCCATACTGTCAGGAGCCTTTTTTGGCTCTTCTTTTTAGAGTCTGGTGAAAAGCCACAGATGTAGCAGAAAGTTCAACATGGCTTCCTCCTCCTCTACGCCCTTCTACGACAAGCCTACCCACTTGAGCTGTTACTCAAGTCATAAATGAAAACTTCCTGAACTGTGTAGAGACTAGCCATGCTCCCAGTTGGTGCTAATTAACGAGCTTCTTCTTCCGCCTCTTGGCGGGTGCAGATGCTTTTTTCCTCCTCTCCTCCATATCTTATCCTCAAGGCCTTTGTCTGTCTCTGTGTGCTGGGTGCACAGCTGCTTCTGCATTTTTCTGGAAACTGGAAACTGAAATACATTTAAATGGATCTCGTCAGCTGGTCTCTCAATGCGATTGATAACATTTTTTCAACAAAGAACGGGAGAAGGGGCTCCCGAATGTCCTGCCGGTACAGACCCAGTTGGACACATCATGGACTCCTGGAAACAGTGGAACTTGGTCTGTCTTTCTCAGCTGTCTGTGGAGGACTCTGAAGACGTGTGGATATTCGTGGTGTTGGTGTCAGGTTTGCTGCTCATTGGCCTTGGAGGCTACCTGGCTTACCAGAAAATTAACGAGCTGTCGAGGAATATTGGCCTGATCCCGGAGCTCAGAGACGGTTTACACCGCGCTGTGAATTCAGACTCAAATAATTGTCGATGAATCATAAGCTTGGGACTTTGGCAGAGATTCATTCATTGGCACAAAAGATGGATGCCATCAAGGATAGAGTGGACGAATCAGCACGGATTGGGATAGTTTAATGTCCATCATTGGGATTCTGAGAGGTTGAGGACCAACAAACTGTAAGACAGAGAGGAAATTATCTCTGTCTGGCCCCAAAACAATTTCTAATCGCAATCTGGCGTCCTTGAGCCTGCAAGGCTCCAGCAAAAACTCCCCCCTCAGAAGAAATGTGGAATGTGCTGTCGCTATGGCAACTCAACTCTGTCTCCTTTCCCAGCCTGGGCGAGACTGCGGGAAGGCCGCTGAAACGTTCCAGGGTCACTGCAACCCTCCAACCCTCAATGCTCCTCCCCCTATTCACACTGAGGTGACATGCTTCTATCGTGGCTGCAGGAACTGAAGTAGGGATAGTCCCAACCCACCACCCCACCTAGTGGACACATATGTTGTGTTGTCTGAAGTCTGCTGCATATCTGTTTGAGGTGTTTTTTTGCAGAGCAAAGCTGCCCTCCCAGTGGAGGGTAACTCTGAAGTGCCTTTTTTCCCTCCACCTGAACCAATCCTCATGTAACCCTCTTATCTCTATTAAGGTAGCGCGACTCAGGGTTGCGAATGACCACAGTCACCAATTCTTGTCATGTGTCTTGCCCATGTATGTCTGATCTCTGAATTGTGTGTACTGAAACTCTAATTTCCCTCTGGGATTAATAAAGTATCTTTGATTTGATTAGATTTAATAGAAAATGGTCAAAAGTCTCGTAAAAAGCATCAGTCTGACCAAACACAGACTTGTTGTACCTGGTTGTTCTATTTGTCCAATTAGCTTGTTTACAAAGCTCACAAACTGAAGAAAAATGATGACTTGACTTGTTTTTGTTATAAAACCAGCGACAGTTTTTTTTATGTTGATGTTTCTGTTCAGAACAGTGATGGTTAAAACCACTTACCAATTCTTACCTAAATATCTCAGGTCCTTAAGTGGCTTCCTTTCAAATTCTGTTTAAATGTGAGACATCTTTGTTGGTAAAGAAAAGAGGGATTTTGTCCCACCACCCCGTCCTCGTTTTTCTCTGTTCCTATGATACACAGCAAGAATCAGATCTGTTTACACAGTCCCTCCTTAGGTCTTAAACGAATGCACAGCCTCTACTTGCTGCTTGCACAAACACTATTCACCAGAACAGGGAGCTCATTAGGACTGCACAGTAATGAGGAGCCATTCTGCTGCTCAGCAGCGGGTTAATTGGGCCAAAGAGGGCAAGAGGAGCCGAGTGTGTGTGCATATGAATAACCCCTACACACACACACACCAGCACAGCTCTTGCACACTTTCTCTGACCCTGAATGGACACACTCTGAATGGCAGTGACCTACAGAGGTCGTCTCCTAATCACCATGGCAGTGGGGGCGGGACACACACCCTAAACCACTGTGAGGGGACAAATAGCAGCCACTTCAGGATTTGGCACCACAGCAGACTTTCCCAGCATTGAGAATGTGCAGACCCGGTCCTCCTCACAATCTGATGCCTTTACATAAACCGAGCTGTGTAGGAGGACATTCATCAGCAGCACAACACCTCCAGCACTTTTGTGTGGACAACTATAAAACTCAGGACAGGAAAGGAAAATTTGTAATGTACCGCCTAATGAGGGCTTTTTCCTAATCTCTGGGGACATTAAGCAGCAAAGCAGAAGCCTTCCGTCGCTCTAAACTAAAGTCCAGCCTGGCTGAACATTTCTGTGCTAAGAAGTCAGTTAGATCAGGGGTTCTCAGTGCAGATCCAGGAGGTTTGTGTCCTTTCTCCAGTACACTTCATTCAGTGGTTTAATCACCTGTTCAGCAACTCATCAGGCTCTGCAGAAGCCTGTTAATCACCTGCTGATTAAAATCACGTGTGTTAAAGCAGGGAAACAACCAAAACATGTTGGAGACTGGCCCTCCAGGACCAGCGTTGGGGACCCCTATTGTAGATGCTCATGATAATATCGTTACTGTTGGTGTTGCTCAACGCTACACATGTGTGCCGGTACACGGGTCGACTTTTCAAACTAGAACGACCTCAGGAGTTCAAAAGGTAGCAAAAGGTGATTTGTACGTGACAAACAAACACCACGCAGTAAAGGAGGACACTGCAGCAATGTTGAACATTCTGCTCAGTCTGGCTTTTTGTCAGACTCAGGCTGGGAATATGCTTGCTCTTCAACCTCCCGTTGACGCAGGCACCAGGTTTTGTCTTGTTCGCGTACTTGCTGCAGCGCTGCATGTAGTACTGAAGTGTTCCACTAGGAGGCACAGTAGACTACTCAGACTGGGGAGACCTGGGTTTGTAGGTACAACCAAAACAAACTTGGTGTCAGTCAAAAAGATCAGTTACTGGTTAATTTTGAGATCATGGCAGAAAAAAACACAGCAGTGATATCATAGATCGTATAAAAGACCACTGAACCAGAGACTGAGATGGTGAGTGTGTCTTGCTCGTTTTGTCAACGCCACCTACTGGTTACTCGTATATTGCAGCTTGCGAACGTGTTGCATTCATTTTGGGGAACGGACACAAACAATGCTTCAAATCGAAGACAAGTTAGGCGGGTCAGCCGTTTTGAAAATGCGTAAGCATAATTAAAAAGCAAGTATATTTCCGGCTTTAGAAGACCCATAAACAGCTACGGGCAGCGACACGGAACACTGGAGAAGTGCGGGAGAGCATGCATGACTCCACCTTCTAGCCAGCACGGATCATCTGGACAACATCAGACGTAATTCTAATAAAGGGGGAAAACTTAGTACCCGTTACTACTGGGAAAGGATTAACTGGGCTTTCCAGCCGATGCATAAGCGCACAGAGATAATTGATGTGTTTTCTCCTCGGCTTCAGCAAATCACCAGAAGATCCCAAAATCCCTGGCTAGTATCAGTGGCCTTACAGCAATCCTCATACTAAGCAAGCATGCAGCGACGGTGGAAAGGAAAACTTTTAACAGGAAGAAACCTCCAGAGAATCCTGGCTCAGTATAAGCAGCCATCCTCCACGACTCACTGGGGATCGAGAAGACAGAGCAGACACACACAACCGAAACAGATGAACTAGTAGTAGTAGTAGTAGTAGTAGTAGTAGTACTTTCTGTGGTAAAGAAAAGCAAGTTATTATCAGGAGAGGGATAATGTTGAGAGTTTGGCCGCAGTGTGCCAGCCGATGGCCCCCTCCATGCGGCTATCGCAACTCAGCAGAACACCAGGCCTGGTGTAGCATCTCTGAAGAAAACCAGGAAATAACGCCTTTCATAGTTTGTCACCAGCTGTTGCAGTCAGATCCTAGGCTTGGCTTTACACTGATTTCATTCTTTATTTTTTTAAATAAACAAACTCTGGTGTTACATTGAAATAATCTATGAATGAGTTTGGCGAGGAGGAACTTGACTGAACATGACTTGGTAGAACGTGAACGCTCTCCCTACAACATCACCTGACATCACTCCCCTAAACCTCACGGCAAGCCTTCTCAGAAGAGTTAAAGCTGTTGGAGCTGCGGAGGGTGGACTAGCTCATCGTTAAAGTACAGCGCTCGACGTGTTCCTGCTCCTTCTGCTTCGTGATTGGTCGGTTTTTACTTCTCCCTCTGATACAAACCAGATCCTCTGGAACGGTTGGTGAAAATCATGCAGCGAGACTTCCCAGAGATTAAAACGTGCCTCGGCGTGGTGTAGGGTGCCGAGTGTTGCCTCTGGTCTCCTTGTTTTTAATAGCAGCCTTAAACTGTTGCTTTAATCTCTCTGTTCGCAGAGGTAAATACTTGTGTGTGTGTGTGTGTGGGGGGGGGGGGGGGGGTCTGAGGAGGAGGAGGGGTTTGTCTCTAATCCCTCACAGTGTCTTATCACTTCTTCCAGGGAGAGCAGCACTTAGAGGGAGAAAAGATCCCGAGCTCCTTGTATCAGCAGAGCTCATCTTCCTACATTATTAAACATCCATATTTCCATATTTCATTGAGCCCCCGTCGCCTCCACAAATCACCGTCTACTTAGCATTCATGTGAGAATGGGATTTGCTTAATGGGTATTAGATTTGTAGATGGTTATCCCGTGGCTATGTCTTTAGCACGCAGCTCCAGTGGATAAGTCAGACACTCGGGAGGGTTTGCAGTTTGACATCTCTCTTTGTCCCACAGCAGCGCTGACGGGGAAACGCATCCTCTCAATCTGTCCTCCTGTCTCACTTCTCATTCCAGGTCCAAGAAGGTGACGGCGCTCGTCTCCACCTTACAGAAAGCCTCGCTGCTGAAAAGGGACTTGAAGCTGGAGCTGGATGAGCTTGAGAATGCAGCGAGAATGGTGATGGAGGAGGAGCAGCAAGCCTCCAGCACTTGCAGTGACGGCAGCAGCGACTCATCCAGCGAGAGCGAGGAGTCTGTGGCTGAAGGACGCGGCTGCTCTCAACCCGAGGAGAAGGGAGGAGGAGGAGGAGGAGGAGAGATGTGTAGAGACAGCCCTCTACACCCCCAGCCCACCTCCTCTGCCTCTCCCATCCCCCAGACACGCTTACGCTCAGTCTCCTCAGCAGAAAGGCGGGAAGCGGAGCCAGCCGGCTGCAGACAGCTGATCCAGGAGTTGGGGGAGATGCGGGTCTCTGCAGACCCCGCAGCAGAGAGCTGGAGCTTACAGATGAGTGATGCTGCAGCAGAGGAAACATCTGGGACGTTGTTGGAGCCGAATCCTCGTAAAAACCCTCTGCTCATCGTTCAACCGCAGGAGGATCCTGAACCGGACTTGGGCTAGAACAGGGCATTGATAAACTTGTACGCCTCTTTTCTTTTTTAATGACCTCTAAACGTGATCATTTTAACCCGTGTTACAGTTTATTTCCCCTTCATGGTATGCTGTTCCCCTAATTAGTTGTTTGTTTTGGTTTAATGAGCATGGATTTGTCTCAGAGGAGGTGAAACTTTTACATCTGTCTTGATTTTTCCTGTTTTACACACAAGTTTAAGATTGTTGTGCATTATTGTTCCACTGCTGGAACAATCTTTAATGTTAATGAGCTGTCTTAGCTGCACCCTAAGTGTGTGGCAGAGCCGTCCTTTACCTAATAAATAGCAGGAAAGCACTAACCCTCTCCTCAAGCCCCAGCATTGATTGAAGTGGGAAAGCCCGCCTGCACTAAACGGGGCAGCGGAGCCCGTCGGTGTGATTGATTCATCCGGTGCAAACGGAGAAGCGCTGCCGACACAGCTCAATATCGTCGGCCGTGTCTAACAGGCGAGGGAAAACAAACAAGGGAAGCACATGTCGGGCAGATAGACGAGTGCTGCTAGCGAGGCGTTGGCACTGGGGTGCCTTCGTTTCACCGATAAGAGCACCCTGGGGTGGAGGCAGCAATGAGATAGGTGGGCAGAGACGACCTTAGTGGATCTCCCTTTGACTCAAGAGGGAAATAATAGTACACGTGTGAGATAAACAGGCAGAATTGGTGATTTTTTTGTGATCCTAATTGGATCCAACAGAGTGAGAGAGTGAGTGATGTTGCTCGGCCACGGTGTTGCCTCGGGGGCTTTCATGAGGAATGTCATCCAGCCTAAACGAAGCGGCTCCGGAGACGATGGCTCCGTGTTTCTGCAGTGTTGTGTTACAGAGATGGATGTTGTAGTTAAGCGCCTCCCAAGAAGAGCCTGCCTCGTGCAACGCCCCCCAGGGACCAGCGCCATCATCATCGCTGTGGCTGAAATGAGTTACGTTGTGAATGCGGGCTCATTTCAAACCCCTTTTGTTCCGAGGACATGAGTTCTGAGGCCGAGAGCCCCCGCGGGCCCGGGCTCGCTCTCCCTGCTGGGCTTTCACATTGATTAAGTGACACGAGCCTCCAATGTCGTTTTTCATCTGAAAGTGCCTCCTATATTCCTGCGTTAGCGCTGCTGTCTAGCGGTCCGACTCCATCTGGCCAGTTGTGTCGCTTCTTTTGCAATTAATTCTCTTCTGGATCAGACGTTTATAAAGAGGCTAGGCTACGGTTTAATGAACATCGCTGATGATTATACAAGACAATATTTGACTTGAGTTTGATTAATCAACCCGTTACTGGTGTAGTGGGTCCCCCACCGACCCTAAGGGGTTGAGTACCTGGTCTCATGTCTGCAGGACTGATTTTGTTGTCGTAAACCAGTTAGTCCCAGCAGGTGTTAAACAGCAAAGGTGCAACCAGATTAAAGTCATGAGATTAAGAGTTAAAGCTGGACATGGTTTTAGTCAGAAACCAGTAGCAATCACTGGTTTTATGGCAGTAGATGAAGTTTACAGCGAAGGCCCGTAGTCCAGTTCACCCAGACTAACAACTTTATTGTTTTAACTCACATAATTGTGATGTTTATTTGTAAAAGTTGAGAACTAGAACAGTTGTGGTTGGTCACACTGTCCCTGAGAATCTGCTCGTGAGTCCCAATGTCCATCAATCAGTGCTTTAAAAGGGAAAACGTTCATGCTAATGTACCTCAGTCCCCCGATGGGCACGGGTCTAAGAGACTGAATTTGACTGATAAATGTTCAAAAACAGTACCTGAAAAGTAACACGATACTCTATAGAACAGTCCAGGTATCTGAGAAAAGCCCATGTTGCGTACCGGTGTTGTGCCATAAATCGACTCGCTGCCAAAAAATGATTTGAATAATGATTGAATAAATATAATATAATATTTAGGTAAATTTAACCCTTTACGGGTGACCAGGACACTGTAATCAACTTTTGGCAAGGGAAATGATCTTTTTTTGCCATTTTTGGGGTGTTTATGATGATACAGTAGACAGTATGAGTACAATAACATCAACAGACAATACATAAAACCCTTATTTGGTCAATTTTAGCCTCCATGAAAAACTGAGCGATTCAATCACGTTTTGGCAAGTAAAATGCCATTTTTGTTGTCTAAAATTAAATCATCAATAAAGAATTTAAAGATATTTTGAGGCGTTTCTTATAGGTAAACAGGAGGGTATGGTCACTATTTGGCAAGTGACAATCTTAATTTTATGTGCTGAAGTGCTTTTGTTACTTTTACATAGAGCAAAGTAATGTATAGATAGTAACCTACACAGTGTCATTAAAGCCCAAGCTTGATCAGTTTAAATACTATTTTTCAAGTAAAAATGTGCCCCAAACTAGTTAACCGTGGCTCCATGTCAAGTGGACTAAAGAAAGGAAGAGGAAAAAATCAAATCACTGGAGAATTGTTTATTTCCATTTATACAACGTTTGAACTTACATTCAATACAGGGCGCCATTTTACATTATTTATTTTTTAGTATCAAGGCTGTAACATAAAGATAGCCCATTCTTACCACAAACCATCTTTCGATCGCAAATATTGCAAAAAGGATTAATATATCCTCATTGTGAACGTTTAAGACAAATAGCAACACTTAAAACTACTTCCGAACTGGAAAAACTAATATCTGCGATAAACATCTGTTTAAGTACCGGAAGAGGTTATCTTTGCTTTCTGAATGTCCATATTGCTAGATATGCTGAGTTTTAAGGCGAAATCCTGGGGAATTTCATCTAGAAATGCAATTACCCTAACCGTGCGCGATCCCGCGGTGGCTAATCATTTTTTGGCAGCGAGTGGATTTATGGCACAACACCGGCTCACTCCCACCCACCCGTTTGGGGCAACAGTGTTGAGTTAACCACAGACGTGATTCTGTGGTGTGAAACTGAAACACTGATTGTTCAATTAAACATCCTGGTTGTCGGCCCTAGCCTCCCGGGTTTAAGTGGAAACGCACATCACTGTCTGAGCTGTAACTCGTGTCTCATCCACATCTTTCCTCTGTGGCGTTCTAGATGAATCCACTCCGCTGTCCTTTATCTAACTCCACTTTCAGCCAGTTTTCTGTAACTGCAGAGGCTTTTAATCTGTTTTTAATAAAATATGTTGAATGGCTGTCTTGTGATTTTATTTTTAGCTTTAAATTTGCACCAGTGAGACTCGCATAGACATGTTGTTCATCTATAACACAGTTATCTAGCATTTCTAAACAAGTATTGAAATGGGAACGAAAAATTTCTTCGTCTTCGTCTTCGTCTTCCTCCGCTTATCCGGGTCCGGGTCGCGGGGGCAGCATCCCAATTAGGGAGCTCCAGGCCGTCTTCTCCCCGGCCTTGTCCACCAGCTCCTCCGGCAGGACCCCAAGGCGTTCCCGGACCAGATTGGAGATGTAACCTCTCCAACGTGTCCTGGGTCGACCCAGGGGCCTTCTGCCGGCAGGACATGCCCGAAACACCTCCCCGGGGAGGCGTCCAGGAGGCATCCTGACCAGATGCCCAAACCACCTCAACTGGCTCCTTTCGATCTGGAGGAGCAGCGGTTCTACTCCGAGTCCCTCCCGAATGTCCGAGCTCCTCACCCTATCTCTAAGGCTGAGCCCGGCCACCCTACGGAGGAAACTCATTTCGGCCGCTTGTATCCGCGATCTCGTTCTTTCGGTCATTACCCAAAGCTCATGACCATAGGTGAGGATTGGGACGTAGATCGACCGGTAAATCGAGAGCCTGGCTTTCTGGCTCAGCTCCCTCTTCCCCACGACAGATCGGCTCAGCGTCCGCATCACTGCAGACGCCGAACCAATCCGCCTGTCGATCTCCCGATCCCTCCTACCCTCACTCGTGAACAAGACCCCGAGATACTTAAACTCCTCCACTTGAGGTAGGACCTCTCCCCCGACCCGGAGGTGGCAAGCCACCCTTTTCCGGTCGAGAACCATGGTCTCATATTTGGAGGTGCTGATCCTCATCCCAGCCGCTTCACACTCGGCCACGAACCTACCCAGCAAGAGCTGAAGGTCAGAGCTGGATGAAAAATTTACAGTCCCTAATTTTCCCCTTTCATGTTTTACAGCAAGGGGTCTTTTAACAGGTGTGTGTGTGTGTGTGTGTGTGTGTGTGTGCGTGTGCGTGCGTACTCATAGTTTAGTAACTTAGTCTGAAATAATTGGGGTTGGCTCACCATTTGGCCAGAAACAGGTTAATCTCCTGATCGCTGAATAATGTAAAATAAACAATTGAAATGAGTGATCCAGATGAACATACCTATAAACTATTGATTAACCATTTAAGAGGGGGACATCTAGCCCAAGAATGGGCAGTCTTGGTCCTCAAAGGCCAGCATGTTTTAGCTGTTTCCCTGCACCAACACACCTGATTCACCTGCTCATCTGCTCATCAAGCTCTGCAGAAGCCTGTTAACCAGCTGCTGATTAAAATCAGGTTTGTTGAAGCAGCGAAACAACTAAAACATGCTGGATAGCTTCCCTCGAGGGCCAGAGTTTCCCACCTCTGATCTTACAGCGACCAAGCTGTAGATGTCTCTCTAACCATTACGTTCTGAGGATTTTATTAAAATGAGTGTTGGCTCTAACTGATTGTACTTACATTTGAAGAGCTTGAGTGATGTGAACGTGTTTGACATGCGTGTGATGAAGATGCCTTGCTTCTATCACACCCCAAAGTTTAGCTGACTCGGTGGAACTGGCTGAGTTGCAGTTTTTGTGCTGGCTAAGATTGGTGAAGATGAGCTGTAGCAGGTACGTCCACACCGAACCCAAACGTCTCATCAGTCAGCAACCATTAAACTTTGGCTTGTTTCTGACACCATTTCCTGTCCAAACATGGGCGCTGACTTTGATGTAGAGCTCACAAAAATAGGAAAACAAACTCAAGGAGCAATTTTCCTTTAAGGTTTGAATTGAAAGAGCAGGTGGGTTTGATCAAGGTGCCGAGATCGTTGGTAAATGTCTGTATATGTTAAATAGGCCTTGTAAGGGCAGTGTGTGCGTGCGTGCGTGTGTGTGTGACCTTGCTTGCACCACTGCAGTAGAACTTGTACAGTGAGGTCACCGTGATGATCCATCCCTTCTCTTGTTTTTTTGTAAATGGGTAGAGGCAGCACCAAGGACGCCGCTTTCGCTGGTGCACTCAGCCACTGGTTGATTGTACTAGAAAACTCAATCTCAGGCTGTTCCTGAGAGGCAAAGTGATTCTGGTGCTTGAAAAGATTAATAGCCCTCCAGAAGAAATGAATCAGGTGCTCTTCAGGGCCTGACTCCTCAATGGGTTTGCAAATAGAAATCCCTTTGTGCACCATCCCTGTCATGTCGCTGTTTCGCCCCCGTCGTGGTAAGGCCCGTCCTCTTCGGGGCCTCTGTGCCGCGTCACGTTGCTCCAGGCTTGGCCGGCGAAGACAGGAGGAAAGAGAAGCAGGTGGCTCTTCCTGTCGGCTGTCTTTGTTGTGAGGCCTCTTGAAATGACTGGCGTATGGTAACGAGGGAACAAGTGCCTGGGACGTGTCGCTGTCTCTCAGGCTGACAGAGCTCGCTGACAGGGAGGGATTATCTTAATGGTCTATTTTCATGCTCTTTATCACAAAAGAAACAGTGAAATGCCCCCTCTGCCTGAGTGTGTGGGAGCATGTGTGCACGTGTGTGTGGCTGCACGTCGACAGCGACGGCATCCAGTCGGCGGCGGCAGCATTGCCTGGCTGATTCACTCTAATTGGTGTGAGCAATGTCCATTAAATCACTCCCTAACTCTCGGTGGACATGTGCTATCAGGCATCCTAATGCTGCAAATTGCCTGTGCCGCTCCGGGTGTGTGCCGGAGCATTTAGAGCTTGTTAGGTTGCAGGGATGTTGTTAAAGTGTGAAAGCAGAGGAGAGGTTTCTGGAAGAGTAGCCACGTGTGAGGCTAAAGTCTGAACTGCTGAGTTAATGTGGATTGTAAACCAGACACTCCTCCACTCATTGCATTACTGCGCAGCCCCCTCCCCCGCCCCGAGGACACTGGGGCTGAGCTAGAGTACAGCTTGTGATAATTTCACACTCTAAAACACTACATCCTTAATGAGCGCAATCCACGTTTTGCTGTCACGAGTTAGGCTGCGTCCTTTGTCCTCAACAGTTGTTCCTTATCTGAGCCAGTCCACGCTTCAGCGTACGTCTCCGTGCACCCCCCACCCCCCACCCCTTAAAAAAGCTCCAGTCTCGGGTTTGCTTCCCCAGATAAAACAGCTGTCAAACACAATTAATATTTCACCGAGAGAGCGTGCTGGAGGGAACCTCCAGGCGCAGAGGGAGTTGGAAACAACAAACCAACACTGTAGCTTCCTGCTCTTCCCTGTCTGCTGTCTGTTTGGTGATCTGTCTTCATGGAGCAGAGCTGGAACACTGGGAGTCAACACCAGAACCAGATCATGGAGATACTAGGGTCAAGGCCTCATGACTTCCTGTTAGTGATCATCACATTGTAAAAAAACGTTTGACAAAACTCAGAAATTACTGTGATGGGAAAAGTTCAGCTTCAAAATGTAATGAAAGATGATTTATGATTAAAACGTAAAGCGTACTGTCTGGGCCATCCCTTCATTTTAACTGCTTTCAGTCAGTGTAGTAAATTCTCCTATAGAGCTCGTCACGTGACTCTCCGAGAGTGGACGCCATGTTGGCAGGCAACAAAGGTGAACAAAATGAACGGGATCGGCTTGATTTTACTCCGTCGGAGTTCACTTCCCACTATAAAACCGAAGAAATCGTTTTATATATCGTTTTTAACAAACACTCCTAGGAGAGAACATATCACACCTGTACTGGCGCGGCTCCACTGGCTACCCGTAAACTTTAGGGTCAAGTTTAAAATCCTGACTTTTGTTTTTAAGGCCCTGAACGGTCTGGCACCGGATTACCTGTCGGATCTTGTCACTAGGTATGTGCCAAACCGGGCGTTGAGGTCTGCTGATTGCCTGCTGCTTCGTGTTCCATTAATGAAATACAAAACGCGGGGGCAGCGTGCTTTTGTCTATGCTGCTCCGACACTATGGAATGCACTTCCTCTTTCGGTGAGGCTGGTACCATCCCTCCTCCGGTTCAAATCGCTGCTGAAGGCTCACTTTTATGACCAGACATTTTTAAATCCCTAACTTTTATTATTTTATTATGTGTCTTTTTATTGACTGTAATTATCTGCCTTGTTGTGCATTTTATTGTTGACTGTCTATTGTTTTATATTGTGTTTTTACTTTTTATTCTGTACAGCACTTTGGTCGGCTGCCATGCCGTTTTTAAATGTGCTTTATAAATAAAGATGGTATGGTATATAGTTAGAAATTAAATAGAATAAACATCTACGACCCTTACCGTGCCCCTGGGATGCTTTTTAAAAACGCCAGAAGCTGTCGGAGCGGACCTCTTACCGGATTTGAAATATCCTGACATTTATAATTTCCTTGTTAATTTTCCCTCGTCCTACTCCAGAGCATCGCTAAGAGCATATACAGTAAAAGCCTGGAGTGATACAAATGGACTCAGTCAGGGTTTGTTGTCGATATCCAGATCTGGATTCTTCCTGCAAAGGACAGAGCTGTTATCACCGGGAGGGTACGTGGAGATTTTTGTTACCGTTAGCAACAGCCCGTTGCAAGGTTATGTCTGTGTGAAACGTTGTGTGCTTTTTATGTGTGATCCGACAACTGATCATCTATTGCTTAAAAATTAAATACAGCTTAGCCGGTTAATTGCTGTGATCATAAAACACGTAAACGGCAGCACGCGGAAATCACGAGGCAACGTTTTACGTGATGTTTACTTGTTGCTATGAGGAATAAGACAGAAAAAGCCACGCCAAAATAAGTTTAGGAAGCCCACTAAGAATCGTAATAAAAGCATTTAAAATAAATAACATACACAGTTGAGGAAACGTTGGTTAAAGTACCTGATATGAAGTGGTCGCTGCATAAGCGTAAACCTTTACTCTCGGGATCCCACAGCTTCATTTTAGCCTGGAGGCTAGCGCGTTTTTTTACAATGATCTAACGTTTGTGGCTTTCCGGATCTTGGGGAATCCTTTAGGCGGCTCTTCCCTTATCTCGTCCGCGTCTGTTCTGCATCCTGGGGC